TACAAGTCTGATTTTAATAATTCTTTTTGTGTTGGATAGCGCATTTATCGAGGATGGCTATAGGCTATAAAATATCACGCTACGACCAATAGGAGCTAAGCAGAGCGTGTGAAAGCGCGCGGAAGTAGCTAGTTCATATATAAACTAAATAATAGTAACTATGTTTATGACTAAAAGTTACAATGGTTACAACTTAAAACTATTATAATATTATAAAAATAGCATGTGATTTGTCTATAACTTTAAAATTACTTTTCTTGGCCAAGGGCTTATTTCTTCAACGCCAAACTATCGGAGGAATATTTTTTTTCTACACAGACGAATTAATCTGTTCATTGAAAAATCGGCCCAAAAAAATGTTATTGTAACGTCACATAACATCACGCCTTTCATCCTCGAAGGGGTAGGCAGAGATAAAGGTTACGCCACTTAATGCCACTGTAGAGGTATAATGTAACAATGCCAACTTTCACTATTTATGTTACGAGTCCCAGGTAATAGGGAATGAGATTGCCATATACCGGGCACAGTTCCAGTCTCCGTGCAACTACTGACTTTTTTTTTAAAAGATCTCTGTAATATCTCCCTTTGTTCGGCAGGCGCACTTGCGACCGGTCTACGAAGCAGTCTGTGTGCAACTTAATTGTCTATTAATTTATTCAAATTAATCTTTAATTAATTTAATTTCAATTGTTTTGGATTTACAAAATTATTTCTAATTTCGATATGATATTTTAACAATTTTATCGTCATTAATGTGTTCTTAGAATAAATCTAATAAAAATGCTTCTAATAGCAAAAATATTCAAGGTTATAATTTGGTACTAAATATAGTATACAAAAAATCAATAAAACAAAATACAGGTCGAATTAAAGACGCTATAATCTATTCTCAGAACCAATATTATACATACCTGTTAACAGTAGTTTTTTTCTGTTTTATCAGTACCTACTCTTTATAAAGAAACACTACAATACCGATTATAGAAATCATGCTTTAAACCTCTTTTAATAATAAATTTAATGAACATAATATGCAGCTTTGTCTTTCGTTACTAATATAGGAGAACTTACATAATATATCATCTACTCAAATGGAACTAAAAAGAGACAGACCTCTGAGTTTGTTTCGGCATTTCTTCTCAGAGTAGTCAGTTAGGAAATGTCGACCTCATCGTTCGCTTGATAAAAATGACGTGTAAAAGTGCTGCCTTGTAGCCTATTTGCAGAAATAAATTCACTCGTTTCACTTGAACCACGTAAATACGCAGACGAAGCTACAAGTCATAAGGTCGCTTTTGATCATTTACATTACTACCAAAATATTAAAATGATCCTTAGTGACTTCAATATCAGAAACTTGCTAAGAAGCAACGAACATTTTACACCTTCGCAATCTATGTCAGTAGCTCGTAAGTGGAGCGTCTGAGCTCGTCCGATTATCGTGCAGGGCACGTGGCGAGCCCTGTCCATTTGCATGCTAATACTGTGCCACCGGAACCGGCCCGTCCTGCCGCCGCATTGTATTGTCAACAACGTGTGATTCACGTCACTACAACAACGAGATTTGATGTGATTTGAATTATTTAGCGCAGCTCTGGTTTGCACTTTCGTTTTTATTTTGCTTTGAGGTACTATTGAACTTAGAGTAACATAATAATATGTAGGGTATTCTAAGATCCAAGGGATCGAAAGGTATGCCAACTCGTATTGAGCAAGCGTTGTCATTGATGCTCAAACCTTGTCCGCAAGAGAAGAGGAAGAGTCACCATTGGCCACTTATCGGAGATGATGATCATTCTAAGATGGAAAACTGTAACGTTAACTTTATTGTTTTTAATTTATTTTACCACAGTATGAGGAAAGTACCCTATTAGCTGCGCAGTAAATATCTGAAAATTCAATTGCTCGTAATTCTACTACACTAATGTTTTTAATCTAAGTGAACTTTCTTTAGTCATGTAATTCTTAGATGACTTGCATATTCAACCAGTGATATCTTACGACAGATTTTTCTCGTAGTCTATAAATCTACCGTCTAAAATAAACTAACTGGATGCCAGGTCAAAGGTGCACAGTCAATCGAAGTAAACTTGGACCGCAGTCCCAAATGCTTTGAGGTAGATGTTGAATTTTGTATGAAATAGCTGATGCGACCGTACCACAGAACAGATAGATGATATTTCCTTTCCCACACTTCTTAGTACCTCATCAAATATGAACCAAGTATTTCTGACTTTTATGTCCTAAGCAATAAATGCCAATTTTGAAAAATGCGGTGCCAGCTATTTGATTAGTTCTGTGATGGTATTTGTGAAATGGACGTCAATGCATTGCTGTTGCTTGGAGTAGAAGAATTCAATCTGCACTGAGCTATAAACTTCTGAACGTGTCCCATTCTCTCTGAGTATTTACGTTTCGCAATAAATTTAGATTTCTAATAAAACTCGATAACACTTGAATAGATTATTAATAGTGTATTATTTATAAATACCATTGATATTCTGCAAGGAAAATTTTTAAAATTAAATTTACTTACCGATAGACGTAAAGACATCTTGCAGTCGTTTGCCAATGTAGGTATAGGCATAAGGTGCACACTGCCCGGGTAGGACAAACTATTTCAACATCATCAACAGACTATAAATGTCTATTGCTGAGCCTTTTCTCACACGAAGAAGGTTTGAGCATTGAGCAAGCGTGGTGATCAATGCTCAAACCTCCTCCGTGTGAGAAAAGGCTCAGGGTTGGCGATTTCAAACTTTTTATTAGATGCCCAGGTTTCCTCACGATGTTTGCCTTCACCGTTTGTCAGTGGTAAATTCGGAAAAAGTCACATTGGTACTTGCCCTCGGTAGGTTTCGAACTCGCACCCTCGTGCATGAGAAGCGGGCGTCTTAAACCTCCGGGCCACGACGACATCAAACTATTTATTCTTCAAATTTTATTATTGCAATATTTTCGGAAACTAAATTCAAAAAATCTTGGAACTTAATTCAATTCAATTTGTTTCAATGTCATTTTAAAATTATTTGATTCGAAAATTCGAGAAATGTTTGTTTGCTGCCAATGATATTTTATGTCTCAATAAATTAAATGCATCAATATTCAATCATTCAGTAATATCATATCATTATATCAATCATACATGGAAGTACTGAGGTACACGTCTTAGTACCATAGCTATTATACTATAGCATTCTTATTAGCAACATAGGGATGAAAAGAATGACAAAATGTAATCTATGAAAACAGCGTATTCTTTCTCCAAAGACTGGGAACTCAAGTAGGTATGACTCCTTTGGTGTAAGGTACCTACAGTTGGCACTGACCTATGACCATTAGGCGATCTGTCTGATCATTAACACCAAAATAATCTCTAAGTCGTTACATCAGTCATAAACCACTAATAAATCGGTCCAACTAATAAATATCTAAAATATAATAGAAGAAAAAACTGAGTCTTAATAAAAAGATTAATTTATTCAAGACAAGGATAATGGTCGAATTAGCAACGACTTCTTCGAGGACTATTATTTTAAGTCTGGTTATATGATATCATTTTATTTAATTATTGTTCAAATGTGATAATTTTAAAACCGGGTCCACACGCTTGGCAAACAATAATAAACAGCTAACACGAACATGTAGAACATAGACATGTATACGATAGGTAACGATCATAATAATGTATTTTTGAGATTGTAAAAAGAGAAACGATGAAGTTTCTTGTTCGTTCTTCTGCATTTGAAACTATACTTTTTTTGGGGGGGGAAATCATCGAATGACTGCTCCCGCCTGGGTGAGGCGGGAGGGAGTGTCAGACTCTTACTGACTAAAAACCACCCCGTTCCTTCTCCTGCACGTCGAGCCGGAGCCCCGGTTACCGGTTAGGTTCTCCGCGATTCCGAATCGGCATCGGCCCTATTGAGCCCCATCTGTGGTGGTCTGATGGCTCTTTCGAAACTATACTATAGCTTTACTAACAATTCAATTGACGTTTCAAATGTGCCTTATCAAAGTTCTATGCTGCAAATTTTGTGACTATAAATAGTTAGTAAGATGGGGATTGATACAAGCTACAGCTCACAATGGCGCGCGTGGTCAAATAAAACACGGCTAAAGTCAAACACAGAAAGCTAGTTTCAACTAGCTTACTACTATTCATAGAAAAAAAAAATTAGGAACACAAGATATATTATACTGAAATAGTTTTACTCCGGTTAAAATATTTGAGACAAAGACGAAATAAAAAAGTGTTGGAGAGCCATGTTACGGCACGAATGGGCCGGCTCAACCGGAGTGATACCACGGCCTCACAGAAAACCGACGTGAAGCAACGCTTGCGTTGTGTTTCGTCGTGTGAGTGAGATTACCGGAGACCCAATTACCCTCCCCTTCCCCAATCTCCCCAATTCCTGAATCCCCAACGATACTCAAACTCCTAATCCCCGAAAGGGCAGTAAGGCACTTGTAACGCCTCTGGTGTTCCAAGTGTCAATAGGCGACGCCGATTGCTTACCATCGGGTGATCCATCTGTTCGTATACCGGCTTATGGCATAAAAAAGTGGGACTCAAGGAGGACGCGTTCTTTATTTTTTTGAAACTAGTTATGTGTCCTTAGTTTTGGTTATTCTCAACTTTATTTAGCCAGATACCTACAAGTGCGATGGAAGCTTCTAGAAAAAGTGTTCACAATAGATAAGTCAACCTAAAGGTTGACATTGATAGAAAAAGGCAATAACTCCACTTAATGGATCATTAGTTTTACGTTACATAAAAAGTTGAATAAATTAGTTCAGATTATCATGATAACGACCGACTGATCTTACCTATACCAGCTTAAAAAAGGATCATATTAATTGGCAACATGATCGAATTATATTTAAATTGGTTTTGTAACCTTGACATCAAAGACTTTATATAACGTGGTTCATAGAAGACACAATTTAGTGCTATCCTAAATATCGAAGGATTATTCAATCAGTGTCTTAGAAAAATGTGGGCGAAGTGTTATATTTTGTTGATTGGTTATTTTGTAACAGGATCGATTGCGGGTGACGGTGAGTAGTTTCATAATTTTCAAGGAATTGAAATTGCACAAAACATTTCGTACTCATCCGAAAATAAATTAGGTAGCTTAACCGGAGGTAAATAGCATGAAACTTGAAATTGTGTTATATGGGACTTATATTAGAAGTTGTTTCAAATATACCTCTAAATTATATAATTATGCTTGAGAGCAAAAATCAATCAATCAATCAATTTTTCAATCCAGCAGAATTGGAACTCATTCCTACTGTACAGCTGAACCTGAATGTATGTACATAATCCTGTATGAAGCTTGTACCCCTAATAAATATCAAACACATTGTTTTTAGTAAATAAAGGTTTTGATATGATGCAATATGCAACATCATGTCAAAAAGTACAACATGCAACTTGTTATAAATACTGTTCATAGTTGTCTTCAATTGTATTATATAGTTAACGAATAAATTTTATATGTCCATTGTCCCAAAACTATAAAAATGGAAACAAATTTTAACAATTACTTCAGATTATCAAGTTAGATTTCCAATATTGCGTCAAAATGCACTCGTGACCACTAATGCTACTGTTCAGCCAAACAACTTCTAATTTAGTCCGTCAGTTAGGTAATGAAAAAATATTAGACACGTATTTTTTAATTTTGTCTTGTAAGAAAACAATGCTGAGATAAAACGAATCAAAATTTAGGAGTGGGAGGTAACTACGTCATTTTAGAGTATAAATCGTACTCAAAAGTGACGTCGTGCGATATTTCAAATCAATATATCTTTGAAACTATTCATTTCTGTAAGAAAATGAAAAACACGGCTAATGTTTTTAAACAATCTACCAGATGGACATTAAAATAAAAATTAGTCATCTACCCCATTGAACTAAGAGCCGATTTTACAATCAACAGATAATTCTTAACTGTATAGCATAAAATTAACATATAATATAATAGTTTTAGTATGGAAGAATTGTCAAATATTCAAAATGATTTGCTCAATAAAATGTATCTAGCGTTGGCAAAATCGGCCCTAAGAAATCTAGTCTAAATGCAAATTCGGTTCATGATTTCATACATCATTATAACGTTAAGTGACATTAGAAAAAATGCAGCGTGTAAGAGTTATTCTTTACTGTTTCAGTGTCATTCATCAAGCCATGCAAACCGAGAGACAGTAAATGTATAGTAAATTCTGCTAAAATCGCCCTGCCTCATGTAGTCAAGGGTTTGCCAGAGTTCGGTACACCAAGCCTTGATCCTCTTCATATTAATAAAGAAGTTAAAGCTGACACTGGAGATTTGAAGATAAGCTTCAAGAATATTGTCGTTCATCGGTTGAGTGAATGCGATATTATCAAAATAACGTAAGTCCTATTTATAATGGTAATATTTCAAATCAAAATGTACAATCTGTATTTATAAGCTACTAGCTGTTGCCGGCAACTTCGTCCGCGTAGAATACGAATCAATGTTGCCAACTCTACGTCTTTTTACGTAGATCTACGTATTTTAAGCCTTTTACGCAAACCTACGAACTTTAGTCCTTGAATCTACGTATTTTCTATCAAAATTATTCAATTACAAAATTAGCATTATTTCCATTACTTTCTCGAAAAAAAAGTTAATAAATCTTCCATTTCATATTATCGTACACTCGCTTCGCCAATCCACTCATTTTTACACCACCATTCATTTTAAAAACAAAGTGTCATCTCAACAGTCAGCTGTCAATTCAAAAGAACCGATACTCATTCTCATGTGATGGGACTGTATGAAACGAACCGTCTTACCTACCTGCTGTCTGTCTGCGACTTTTAGGGTCTTATAAATAGTAGTTTTATTCACTTTTACCTACCATACTGTCTTCATTTGTATCAGAAAAAAACTTTATTAAAATCTGAGTAGGCAACACTGATATGAATTTTAGAACATAACTTTCTTTACTAGCCCCTATGTTACTCTTTAGTACATGAACTATCTGCCAATGAAAGTCTTGCAAAATCGGTCCAATCATTCCAGAGATTAGCCAGTACAAATAGACAGACAGATAGATAAATTTGTAAAAAAATACATTTTGACCTGTGTATCAAATGCATGTAGTAAAAAGCAGTTATTTTAATGTTACAAACAGACACTCCAATTTGATTTATCTGTATATAGATATTCTTTGTAACTCTAGGAATTAATAATACATATACCTATTGGGGGTCGAATCATGAAATGTCAATTAAGAAATAGATTGGGACCTATTTTATAAACATTATTAAACATCTAAAAATATTTTTTTATGTATACTATAATCACAAAAAAAAGGATGACATTTTAATTGACGCTATTCAAAGCAAGCAAGTTTTTGGAAGCGGTTTTGTTAGTGTTTCAAAATCAACATCTACATGTATGTACATACATCTATTCTTTTTATCTTTATTATATGAGTTATGTAACACCATTTATATTATTAACGTCATAATACATGTATATATATATTTTCGAGCACTTAAAGCTATCGATAAGGTTATTATGATCCAGAGGTTAAGGCCCGATTCTCAAAGTGTTCGAACCCTGGTGAAAACGAATAATGTAACTTCTTCTATATGCCTACATTTACTGTCATTTTAATGTTGACATGTTGTGTTGTTCTATCTTTATAAATAACAATGAATTTTCGTTCATTAGTCTCGCTAAAACTCGAGAACATCTAAACCACTAACAGATATGGCTAATTTTGGTCTTAAAATATTCGTGGAAGTCCAGGAATGGTTTAAAAGATGAGATAATTTTATGAACGAAGTTTGCCGGGTCATCTATCATTTATTATTATTTATTTAGCACTGATGTATTGTTATAAAAAAAACATCGCGAAGATAGCTAAACTTTATTATGTCTGTAGTCGCCAACTCACCTTGAGCACTCGTAGCTAGTGTAAAGAGGTTAGCCCTATTATAGTTTTATTCAATATAATGCTTACCAATTGGAAATATGACTGCATGGTTGGTACGGTGGCTGGGCAACCGGCTGCCGCGCAACGTGTAGCAGCGATTCCCGCACGGATCAAGTATTTATGTGATCCACATATTGTTGTTTCGGATCTGGGTGTCATGTGAATGTCATTGTATATGTTTGTAAACGCACCCACGGCACAAGGAGAAAATCCTAATGCGGGGCAACATATAAAAAAATAAATAAATGGAAGCCTGGACATCCATCTCAGGAGGCTGGCGTAAGGTGGATGGATTAAGGGCCTGATACAGAAGGCAGTTCTCCTAGGAACGGCACGTATCGTGCGGAGTTTTCTGGCTCTAGAGCCCTAACCACCGGTAGCTTGGACCATGCACCTATTTTTTATATTATTAAATAGAATAAGAAATATAGGTAATCTGTAGAGAATTTTAAATAAATATATGAAATAAAAAAAAATATTTTGTTGACAGCCGAGATCCCGTAAAATCTACTGCAAGCATGGAATTAGTTTGTCCTCTTACTATTGATGCCGAATACAAAGCGGGTGGAAAACTATTCTACATAGATGTTTATGGAAATGGACCCTTCAATATCAAGAATGGTAAGTTTATTTTCGGGGCACCATCAATCGTACTGATTTGGATACTGGTACAAAGAATAACATTGTTTTTATAATAACTATCGTGAGACATACTAAATTAACTAAAAATCGCGGGAAACTCACGTGAATTTACAGAGAAAAGCTCTACTAGTTTCGAAGCTGCGCGACATGGCCGCGACCGCGCACGCTGGTCATGAGGAAGAACCTCTCTGTGGTTCGAAACTAGTAGAGTTTTTCTCAGTATATTCGCGTGAGTAACCCGCAATTTTTAGTTACGAATAACATTGTTAAAAGATGTAAAATAACAAATAAACTTTAAAGGTACTTGAGTAGGTTCTTTTAGAAAATCAATAATGTTCAAGAATTTTTAATTTATCGTACAAATTAACTTACAAACCGTGAATTTACAATCAGAATCAATATTTTACCGACAATACACTAAATTAAATGCTCAATTTTTACGTCGATTTCCAGGTAAAATAAAGCTCTCAATTGATCTCAAAATCAAATCTTTTGAAGACAAAAAAGGTATAAAGCACTACAAGATCGGAGGTTTCGATTATGAATTCGAACCAACGGAACGTTTTGACATCAAGTTGGACAACTTGTTCAACGGTGACAAGACACAAGGTATACACACATACATACTTTTTACTACTTATAGGTACATGCTACTGATGCTTTAGTTAATCAATTCTTAACATGTAAACATAGTGGCTGTGGTGGCCATGTGGTTTAAGACTTGGGTTCGCGGGTGACTCTTCCCGAGTTACATGTACTTTCTAACATTGTTTAGACACCACTGACAAACTGTAAAGGAAAACATTGTGAGGTAGCCTAGGATTATAATTTTTAATTATAAGTTTCAAATCGCCAAAGAAGTGATAGGTAAATGCTCAAACCTTCTCCTAGCGAGAAGAGGCCTTTGGTCAGCTTGATAACTTATGAACTGGTGACCAGCATTACTGAAGAATAATATACTGTGAAATTTATATCGTTTGTGTCCCAAAGTAAAATGGTTTTGTCACGATATTACCTACAATACTTTTACAAAGAAACGAAATATTTGAAACCAAAAATAACCAATAAGCCATAGTACCCACATTCTTGAGATTTACGTACTCTATAAATGAAATTACCAATATAATTAATTACGCTGAATTTAACAAGCGGTATTTGCTACCTGTAATTAACAGATTCACTCATGCCACTTGGAATCCATTATATTGAATGGCTAAATTAATACGATTTGTGTAATTGCTAACCACTAATTTGTCACCAAACACATTGTATTTCTTTATAGTGGTCTAGTTCATTTACAACTGAACGGTAAAAAAAATAAAACCAAACTATTGATACAACAACTGACTGCCTCGTTCGCCGAGTGGTCGCAAGTGCGACTACCGGGCATGCGATCTCGTGTCCGATTCCCAGGTCGGGCAAAGTATAACTGGTTTTTTTTATTCTGGTATATGGCACGCCCTATTACATGGAAATCATAACATAAATAGTGAAAAGTGGATATTACATTTGCTTTAAGTGGTTTTAAGTGCCGTAATGTGCACCTCTGCCTACCCCTTCGGGAAAAAGGATGATATTATGTATGCCATGTATGATAGAACAAGTTAAGGTGAACGGGGTAAATTTTAATACCTAGTAAAATCTCATTGCATAACCATTTCTTTGATATTTAAAACTGTCATAATTTTTGATTCTGTAAACGTTCCCGACGTCACAATGCAACTCTAACCCCATGTTAGTCATCACAAAAACTTTAAACTTCATTGTCTTTCAACCTACCATCTTGTACCTATACCTAGTTGTCAAAACTATCCACGTTGAGGTCAACGAAAAGACAAACAATATCACTTTGTTGACATTGATACACGTCACAATACCGGTACAAGATATCTGAGGAATTTACATTGAAGATCATTCTTGTAGTTGGTTACATCATATCTTTCATTTTCTTTATTATAACTACATTTTTATTATATTATACTAGCGGACCCGACAGACGTTGTCCTGCATATAATATAATAATAATATAATAGGTATAGATAATTAACCTAGATACCGACTGCAGCGCCATCTTGATCCAGATTTGTGAATCTAAACCGTCCAGGGCGCCACTCAAACGCATACAGAAAAATTCATTTAAATCGGTCAAGCCGTTTAGGAGGAGTTCAATGACATACACACGTACAGCAGAATTATATATATAGAGATGTAAAAATTTTTAGAGGGCATTAGTGCTAAATATTCTGAGTCCCAGTCCAGTACAACACGAGTGAGCCACTGCTGTAATATAAATAAATTTTACAAACTCTAACAGGTCATGTCATGCATAAAAAACTGCCGTGTTCTACTTTTATTCTCTGCTTCGTTTCTATTTAAACTCCTTAAAATTAATAAATTTATTTTTCAGCTGATCCAATCAACACAATTATCAGTGAAAGCTGGAAGGAGCTGATAATTGACGTCGGCAAACCACTTTTAAGGGAAGGCATCCTGACAATAGTAGACGGCATTGATAAAATGTTCAAGGGAATCGCCGCAGAACATCTAGAACTCCCAGAATAAATACAATTTTCAGCGCATATTAAATCCTTTTTAGATTAAGCGAAAAATTGTTGTGACTGATTTATAGATACATATTTTGGGTTATGATTAAATTTTTAAAAGTTTACATTAAATTACCATTTTGAGTTTATTTCCGAATATCCTTACTAAAGAAGATTAAAAACTTCCATGAAACTGAAAACATTTACGCACATAAATGTAGGCATATACGTAGAAATCATAAATACATAACTCACATACTCTCAGAAATCATAAATACATAACTCACGCCTGTCTCCCATGAGGGTAGGCAAAGACTATGGAACGTCAATTGCAACGATTCCAACATACCTTTCGCGTCATCAACAGTCATCAATTTTTTCATGCATGCTCGTCGGTTAAGGGTACTTTTAATTCGGCCCATCTTTAATATATCGCCAATCTGGTCAGTATATGTCCATCTAGGGCGCCCTCTACCGACGGCCCCATCCGTATCCACTCTGTATACTTCTTTCATTACTCTACTTTTATCCACCCTTTCTACACATCTAATGTCGGAATACTGAAACGCTACTCAATTTTAAGTCGTGCTTAAGTGTAGTTCTATCTCTACAAATTCTTTGTAAAATGACAGAGATGGCACGATATTTGAGCACGACTTAAAATTTTGTAACGTTTCAGTATTCCGGCATAAACCAGGGTAATATTACCTTTTCAATTTTAGTCACTATAATATGATCTTTCAATCCATACCATTCTTTAATGACTCTCAAAAATCAATCAACTATTAATGTAAACTTCAGACATCAGTGCCAATAATCATCAAGATAACAATTACTCTTACAAAGTGGAAAACGCCGTTGGTTACACATTTGTTCGAACTACCTATGTATTGTGTCAACATAATGTATCATGTAATGTGTCACTGTGTGTTTTCCCAAACAAATAAAAAAAAAGATCATACCTACACCAAAAATTTTATATTCACACAAGTTCATGAAACTCGACGAACAAAAAATTGTGCAAAAATATTATGACAATACCTTTCCGAACAATGACTTTCAATCGGCAGAATTTCCATTGATTGGCAGAATTTTGATGGTCGCTATGACAATACAATATTTATGACAATCAGAGTATGTACCGCAGAGAACTAGTGCCTACTGTTTCTATGATGACTGACTCAGTGTTTGAGTAACTGATGTAAACACTGGGTATTCAGGTTTGATCTTGCTTATGGCTAAGTATAACAAAAGTAATTCGCAATACTGGCACGGGATCTACTATAAATACTTGGTGATTACTATTTTTAGTTGAATAAGTATAAGATAAATAAAAAAAATAGCAATTACCTCTCGAAGTCGTGAAAATCACTATCTACAGTTAGCAATAGGAAGTTTTTTCGGAACTTCAGTTTTCGATAATAAGGGGTGAATAGAATTCGAGGGATGAATAGATACAGTAGAAGCATAAATGAACAAATCTTAGACGCATTTACTCACCCCATTTATGTATCTACTCACCCTTTGAATTCTATTCACCCCGTTCAAAGGTACACAATATTATTTTTTTAATTCATAGTTATAGTATAGGTAGTTCTTTAATAAATGGGTACTGGTTTCATACTACCACTGATTTCTAAAGAGAAACAACCATAGAACCTTTTCCATATGTACAAAAATAAAATATATATAGATCCTACAAAATAACCATCAATATAAAACCTGAAACCTCCACCCTTGTACTGCTTTCCAACCCCTATATCTAAATAGCATTAATGGACTCAAAACCCCTTTAAGCTCTGCGTAGATGGTGTCACAAATTACGTCACTAATCCATGGGAGTCGGCAATGGCTTCTATTAGACATTGCTTAAGCCCTGGAGACCGCTGCACGCTATCAATGGTCTTATACAGTACTAGCTGTTGCCCGTGACTTCGTCCGCGTAGAATGACTTTTGGCAGACTTTAGGCTTTTGATTCAGACATTCCACGGTAGCAAAATAATGTCGTCAGATTTTACTTCTATATATACAAAAACTAGCTTCTGCCCGCGACTTCGTACGCGCAATCCCATTTTCCCCCCGTTCCCGTTCGTGATTTTCGGTAAAAAGTAAAAAAAAGTATTGTATAAAAAGTATCCTATGTCCGTCTCCTGGTTCTAAGCTACCTCCCTGCCAATTTTCATCTAAATCGATTGAGGCGTTCTTGAGTTATAAATAGTGTAACTAAAACGACTTTCTTTTATATATATAGATAAAACCCGTTTCCCGTTGTCACGCCATAACTTAATAATGGCTAGACCGATTTGGCTGATTTTTCTTTTGTTGTATTTTTTATTGTCAAGAGAAGTCTTATGGGAGAAAACGGGATTGCGTACAAAGTCGCGGGCAGAAGCTAGTAGGTTATATTTATTGTGAATCAAGTCTGACGACATTACTTTGTTAGCGTGGAATGTCACTTGGTAAAGTCGAATTCAAAAGACAAACAGAAAAATATTTTAAAACTCATATTTTTGGCTTCAATATCGATTATTCTTTTAATAAAATATTTACAAGTACATGTACAATTTTGACTTTTCTATGATTTTTTATATGCATAGATGCTATAAGTTATGGTGTTGTTGTCATACGAGTGCTACATCTTAAATTTTATTCTTCTTAGGGAGAATACGAGTTCTCAGGGCTAAAACCTTTTACCAAAAACGCTATCAAATTATTCATGACCAGATATTGGTAATACCGTCATCGTCTTAATCATAAAGTTATAGTTTAAATACAAGTGACATAAGATTACGCGTTTAAACGACGATATCTTTAGCTTAACCCTTTGAGGACCGTCATTATAGACACAATTAGAAAGAAAGAAAGAAAGAAAAACTTTATTTCACACGCTAAAACAGGTGACACGTACAGATTTTAGACATTTTACACATAAGTACTTACATCCACTAATGTCCCAAGTCTGCGGTGAAATGGGACCATATGTATAATGTCCATGGTTCAGTATGTGCAAGACAGGGCCTCGCGCTGGTATTCTACTGGCCCCTTAAGTGACTCGCGGACGAACAAGACACTAATCAGACAAAAACACAAAATAAAATGCACAAAACAAAACAAATATATAACAACAAAAAATTAAAGAACAATAGGTCGCGGGCACCGGTGTCCTCGCGGTGATTGACAGTTTAATGAGTCCCATGTAATATGGTGGAAGCTTAATGCCATAGATCATTCCACAAGCGACCTCTTCAGTAAATGCCCTTTACAAAACAATCGAACAAGCAGTAAATCCAAGACAAACGTATGTAATCCTCTCAAAAGCTTGATTCCAGTGCAACTATTAACAGTAGAGCATCATACTGATCATTCGTACTAACAGGAGCTGTGTGAGCCGTAAATGTTCCAAATACGAACACGAGCAATGTGCGGCAGCATGGAGTCGAGTGACGACCGTTACGCTCGAGATCGACATGTATGCTGGACACTTTATGCCTAGCTCCACGATACATATCAGGATTGGCCTGTATGTCCCTGGCAGAATTACGTGCCGGATAACAACAGTAAATACTTTAAGTGATTCTGTTTGAGTTGTTAATGCAGAACACAAGATCTCGATTTAGCGTAAATAAATCTTCTTTCTTCTTCTTGCGTGTATTACAGATTAGATTGAATCTAATCTTTTTAATTTCAATGTTCTGGTTAACATAATAGAGTTGAAATTTGATTTTTCGTTAATAAACTGAATTAGCAGTAATATGCAAATTAACAAGGCTGATATGGCGCAATCCATTTCTGTTGCAATTTGCACTGTCTTAAATTCTACCGATACGACGATAACGCTATCGTCCTAAAATCATAGCAAAAACCACATAACATAACATCACGCCTTTTTATCCCCGAAGGGGTAGGCAGAGGTGTACATTACGGCACTGCCACTATACAATGTAACACCTACATTGCACAATGTAACACCCACTTTTTACTATTTATGTTATGAGTCCCAAGTAATAGGGGGTGAGCCTATTGCCATATACCGGGCAGATTTCCAGACTTCGTGCTACACCTGAGATTTTTAAAAACCCAGAAATCGAACCCGAGACCCCTTGCCCGACAGTCGCACTTGCGACCATTGGGCCAACGAGGCAGTCATAGCAAAATCCACGAAAAAAGTAATTATAAGGATTGAGAAGTCACGAATGTTAGTGAAGTAATTAATTGTTAAGATAGAGCAAATAACAGGTGCAAGCTAGTCCGACTGTGGCACGACGCCAAACTGTTGGAGCCTCCGGAAACCGAACAAATAGAATTCCACAAGTTTTAATGCTGGGTACATACCAGAGTACATTGTTAGACAAACACATGCACTTATGTAGGCACTGTTTGCCTGGCAAGCTCTGAGCTACATGTAATTATTCCTGAATTCTTGTGACATAACATCACACCTTTTGACCCCCAAGGGGTAGGCAGTGGTGCACACAGACGTAACACCCACTTTTCACTATTTATGTTATGAGTCCCATGTAATAGGGGGTGAGCCTATTGCCATATACCGGGCACAGTTCCAGACTCCGTGCTACTACTGAGAATTTTTTTAAAACCCAGTAATACTTTGCCCGACCTGGGAATCGAACCCGAGACCCCTTGCCCGGCAGTCGGACTTGCGACCACTCGGCCAACGAGGCAGTCGGGAATTCTTGTGACTTTAAGGTAGAGTCATTAATTCTCCTTTGTGCATTATAAAACATGTTTAATAACAAGTTTTAAACTTTGTACGTACAGATATCAAAGTGTCCAAGGTACAAAGTTTAATATTATACACAGACAGTTGCATCATATATTACATTCTAAGAAATCCCTTCTCGGATAAGTGACAATGATATCCTCATAAAGCTGAACAGCCAAAGTTTTAGAAAATACATAGAAGTTTTTCTAAATGCTTTTGACTGCACGGTTGGCGCGGTGGTTGGGCAACTGACTGCCGCGCAACGTGTCGCGGGTCCGATTCCCGCACGGAACAACTCTTTGTGTGATCCATAGATCGTTGTTCCGGGTCTGGGTGTAATGTGTATGTGAACCTGTATGTTTGTAAACGCACCCACGACACAGGAGAAAATCCTAGTGTGGGGCAAAGTATTAAAAAAAAAATGCGAAACTTACTATCCTAAATTACATGTCGAAATTTTTTTTATGATACATATCCCCTAAAAAGTTATAAAATGGATAATTTACGAGCTTAAACATAAAATTACAGTACAATAAGTAATTAATTCAAAATTAATGGTCACTTTAAATATAAAGATTAAAAAGAATTTAAAGACCTATCAAAATGACAATCTGTTTTTCTGTTGTTTATATTATCATAACATAATAAAACATCACGCCTTTTTATCCCCGAAGAGGTAGGCAGAGGTGCTCATTCCGGGACTTACTGACTGTCACTGTACAATGTAACACCCACTTTTCACTATTTATGTTATGAGTCCCGTGTAATAGGGGGTGAGCCTATTGCCATATACCGGCCACAATGTCAGACTCCATGCTACTCCTGAGAAGTTTTGAAAAAACCCAGCAATTCTTTGCCCGACCCGGGAATGGAAGCCGAGACCCCTTGCCCAGCAGTCGCACTTGCGACCACTCGGCCGACGAGACCGTTTATATTATCAATATATGGAAATTAACCAATACCACGTCACTGCACTCAAGAAGGTGATTTAATCGTGCTAATAAAACTTTCGATTCTGTTTTTATATTTACAGTAGCATCAGCCACCGGCTTCGCTCGCGTTCCCTCTCGGGTAAAAAGTAGCCTATGCCTTACTCCACAATATAAACTATCTCTGTTCCAAATTTCATTCCGGTCCATTCAGCCGTTTTGACATGAAGGAGTAACAAACAAACAAACAAATAAACATACAACCTCTCGCAGTTTTAATATTACATTCTAGAAGAATAATTTATTTTTTTAATTTAGGAGTCTGCTAATAATATGATAGCAATAGTGATCAATCTTTGTACTATCTAGGTATGTACATTTTTGACATTAGTTCCATTTTTTTTAAGGGGGGAAAATCATCGAATGACTGCTCCCGCCTGGGTGAGGCGGAAGGGAGTGTCAGACTCTGACTGACTAAAACCCACCCCGTTCCTTCTCCTGCACGTCGAGTCGGAGCCACGGTTACCCGTTAGGTTCTCCGCGAAGACATTAGTTCCATAGACTTTCGCGTACAGTACAAACCGTGTTCGACACAGAGTTTTAATCAAGATCAATAAAAGTGGTTTTAAAACAGACGAAAGCGATTTTCCCACCAATTAAATAATGCGGGTACAATCCTGCAATGCGGGCCTAAGAAGTTTTCACACACATGGGCAATTCTTTTTAACGTTTCAGCACTTCTATCCTTGCCTTGATACTCTCTGCAACTGTTTCGAGCATAAAAACATGTATTAAGGATTGGTTGTTCAAAATAAAGTTTAACGTTTTACATAGAGAGTACTCACGTGCATACGTACATATCTACGAGCTATAACAAATACTTTTTAAATTTTTCTCTTTTTTGAACTTTAAAGTAACCTAGTCAAAATAAGAAGTACAATATAAGGTTAAAATTAAAAAATAAAATTCAACTCTCATGTAAATAAATATAGAGTTAAAAAAAGAATGGCTGTTATATTTATTAAACCGGTCGCCAGAATACTATGTTAGCACATACATATAATAATATCATGATGTGTCTTTATGACCATTGTTTTTGTGGTAAACAACAAAATTAAAAAAAACACTTGTGTAGGTAATGGGGTCAATCAGAATTGACCGACAAATAACCTTTTTTGTACAACACGTACACCACATCTTACTAGGATATGTACTTCTTAATATAAGGGTCTAATCGGATCTTTTCTCATCATAATACTTATTAACCAGCTTCCCAAATAAAAAGAGGTTCTCAATTCGTCAATATGTTTTTTTTTCCTTATTTTTTGACCTCAAGGTGGAAAGTTTTCATGGGGTCTTCCCTCACCTCGAGAGGAAGAAAAGTATCTGTTACACTCTTTCTGACTCAAACCACCCCGTTGTCCCGTCTCATACTTGAGTGGTGATGGTCTGGGAATTTTTCCGTACCCCAGCTCTCGTCGTGATCTGCCTTGCCAGACCGTATCTCAAGATGCACAAAGGAGTGAGGTGCCTACGCATAAACCTACTTTAAACAAACTGTGAAGTACCAAAATGTTGTAATTTTCTATTTCTTCACAATTTAAAGTGTGGGAGATCTATGCTTCGGCACAAATGGGCCGGCTCGACCGGAGTGATACCACTGCCTCCCAAAAAGTGACGTGAAACAGCACTTGCGTTGTGTTTCATCGTGTGAGTGAGGTCACCGAAGACCCAGTTACCGCCTCCCCAACCCCCATTCCCCAACAATCATCAAATTCCTAATCCCCAAAAGGCCAGTAACGCACTTGTAACACCTCTGGTGTTTTGGGTGTCTGTAGGCGGCGGCGTTTACTTACCATCAGGTGATCTGTGTTCTCGTTTACCATCTACCACTTCCATCCTTTAAATACTTCATTACTTTTGGCTTCGTTCTTTTGAGTCTACTCTCAGTTATATAAGTACGTACGTAGCTAATATTAACTGGAAAATTCATCCCACTCATAGCTTGTTTTTATAAATATCTAGACCTCAATAGTCCAAAACATACACATATATTATTAGAAGTATCATTTGTCTAGCCAATTTCTGTCTGCTTAAACATTATTTATTTTTTGTCCCTACACGCTATTGACACACGATCGGTGATTATCTTTGAAATGTTTACTTCGTTTTCATGTATTTGTACAACAAAAAATGCACTTCTAGTGTTTGTGTAAAATGTATCTAGTATTGACTTATTATCACGGCTGTCTCTACGAACAGGCAGGGGCAATGAAATGAAATTACCTTGATTCACATCACCTACTTTTTTATTTCTATCCCATTTTTCTGAACAATTGCACTGGAATTTTCAGTTTATAAAATTGGGTTTCACGTTGTATATGTGGTTCTTTTTCCTAACAATTTGGGGACTAAAAGACATGTTGTTATGTTATTTTAAAAGAAACTTATACATATCTTACTTCTTTACTAATAGATACAAGAAACGTATGTTGTTCGATGTGTATACTCCAGCACTACTGCACCAAAATGAATATTTGTAACGTATTCTTTCTAGCAAGAAATGGTTTACATGACAAATTACCGGTGAAGTCAAAGTCAAATTTTATAAAACTACTATGTATACTATAAGCTCAACCAAAATTCAAGTTTGAATATATAAATTTTTTTTTGATAAATAAAACACATAAATATCACGCGTTTGCGTCAATAGTCGCAACAAAAAGAAGATAATCTACCAAAAAAATAGAAGTGTTAAGTATTGGAGTGCCTTGTTTTTGGCAAATTATAAATACCTAGTTGTCAACGACCTATGTTTTATTCTTAAGTCTAGATAACCTCATTTGTTTATTCTTAACAAGCTCCTGCCAGAGGCTTTGCCCGCGTTCTCGTGGTATGAAAAGTAATCTATGTGTTATTCTAGGCCAATCAACTTCTGTTCCAAATTTTATCTCGATCGCTTCAGAGGTTTGGACGTGAAGAAGGAGTAGGTATACTCTTTTACGTCAAAACAAATATGTTTGACATAATAAACTTTCGTATTTATTACAATAAGTAAGACTATTTGGACTTTAAAGCATTAATATTAATGACAATATTAATGATTACTATTTTCTAATAAGTCCAAATTGACACTCATCTAAACGCTCTTGTAAGCAATTATTCTATTTATCCTTATCCAATCTTGTACGCTGCTTCATTTTTTATTATTTCCTCCTATCATTATTGTTGTCAAAATGACATTCTTCAAGAAGGATTTATGAAAAAATCTTTCTCCTAAAATCCTCATTCGTTTTTGGGAATAGACAATCAAAAACTAGAAAATCATTATGGAAAAAATTGCTTGGTAGGTACTGGGTGACCAAATTTTTCCACTGTAAAAAATAAAACGTTTCCGAAACCTACAGACTAAAATTAAATGAATGCCTAATTAAAATATATAAGACCAGAAAAAAATGTAGATCCAATATTAAATTATGAACCTTTAATTTTAGCTAATTAACATAATACACTGAACCGTGTACAATATAAAAAAGAGAAATAGAATAATTTGCGCCTAAATAAAAGCTTATAAAAAGTAAACAAGTTAAATATATTATGTGAAGATACGGGTAGCAACGAGGTTAGAGGCTCCTAACATAAAAACTATTAGGACGCTACCGAGCCGACCTCAGAAGCACTATATATTGCGCGGCTTACAAAATTCGACATCAGTTCCATCCTTAGAGATCATACAAGTGGTTGGTTATCTGATCTAAGTAAACTGTCAAATATAAATAATTAAAATGTTTAAATCACAGTGTTTGTTATTGTGCCTGTGCTACGTCATCATCAGCGCTTACGGCAATGCGGGTAAGAATCATTATTTTTATCTTTTACTTTGTCCGTCTATAAGCTCAGGCAAGACGCATGTAATGCCTCAAGTGTTGCAGGCGTACATAGGCCAAGGTAACCACTTACCATCAGGAGGGCCGTATGCTATTTTGCCACCGTCATGGTATAAAAAAAGGTACAGAGGTGCATATAGAGCATAGGTTCCCAAGTTCCATATGCTTAAGGTATTTAGTACTCCTTTATATCCAGTACGCTGTAGCTCGCTTGAGCACACAAACCTGTTTCTGTAAACATAAAACTGTCTGTAAAAATAATCTGCTTAACTTTATAATTTGAATTATACTTCTAGCCTTCTAAATGTACAGGGCATTCAATACCTATTCTTCTAAAAACGGGCATGTAATGTGCACTTCAGCCTACTCCTTCGGGGATAAAAGGCGTGATGTTATGTTATGTTACCCAAACTCGGTTATAACTCAGTTCTGACTCAAAATTAATTGGAAAAGCCTGGAATCTTTCATCACCCACTAACACCTATTTTTCTTCCCCAGTGCCTTTCATTGACAAGTGTGAATGGAAGGACAAGGCCTGCATCAAGAAGTCAGCTCAGAAAGCTGTACCCTTCTTTGCAAACGGTTTACCAGAGTTCGGAGTTAAAGCTTTGGACCCCATCAAAATTAACAAAGTCTCATTAGAGGAAAGTGGCTTGAGCCTCACTTTTGAAGACTTCCAAGTTGTTGGACCCAGCAAAGCCAAAATATTAAGTGTGGAGTAAGTATTTTAATTATATCGCACATTCATCATCACCAGCCTATAAGTGGCCACGGCTGGACAAAACCTCTTCTCACATGGAGAAAGTTTGAGCATTAATCACCACGCTTGCTCTATGCGGGTTGGAAATTTCAAACTTATATTTTAATAGAAATATGATTAGTTCAGGTTTTCCTCACGATTTTTTCCTTCACCGTTTGTCAGTGGTGTCTAAACAATCTCAGAAAGTACTTTCTAGCTCGGAAAAGTCATATTGGTACATTGCTTGGTAGCTTTTGAACCCGCACACTCGTGCATGCGAGAAGTGGACTTCTTAACGACATTTTAAATATTTTTTTATTGATGAATCTTTATTTTCTTTATCTTTTTTTTGGTTCCAATCTCCTACTGCGATACTTTTAGTTTATATAAGTCTCTGGAATACCAAAACAATAATTTTATCAGTTACATTAGAATACTACATAGGTGTTACACATGTTGCAGATGTAGAAACCTATCGATTTACTTATCCACAAATGATAGTTTGTAGAACTAGGTTTAAATTATCATGTCATTTAAAATCCATTTATATAAAATTAACATTACGATCTACGTAATTCTCATAACAGAAAAAAAACACCTTCGTATTGTTTTCTTATTATCTATGTATATTATTTAAATTAGCTTATAATACAGTTGTCATTACATAAAAAAATATATTTAAATTTATTTATTTGTGACTCAACAGCCGTGACGAAGCACCTTCTTATATAAAATTGGAGGTAGAATGCCCTATTGACGTCACAGGTACATACACTGCTTCTGGACAACTTCTGTTTGTGCCCATCGAAGGACATGGTCCCTTCCGAGTGAATACCAGTAAGTATCATACTTTGTAGCTGACCTCCTAGAACCTATCATGTAAAGGTCGCTATTCTCATGAGGAAAAGGAACGAGCATTGATCACCATTTTAACGCAAAAACTAGCTTATCTTTATATACCGTATAATAGTACCGGAAAATGTTCATAGGATTTAAAAGGTTTCCTCACGATGGTTTCCTAGATAGGGCATTACGAAGTTACTTTACTATTTATTGACTTACCAACTAGTCGACCTATCTTCAAGGATAACAAACCACTACAAACCTTAACGACAGCTCTTAAAGCATATTTTACAATTTCAGACAACATCTACATCTGGGCTAAAGTTGCTGTATCAACCGTTGACGGTCCTGATGGAGAGAAACACTGGAAGATTGGCAAATTCGAATACACCTATGAACCTAAGGATAAGACTTTGTTGGATTTCAAAAATCTCTTCAACGGAGACAAGAACAAAGGTAAGACTCTGATTTTAGAATGACCCTTAAAGCCTTTAAGAAAAGTGCGTTCTCCTACTCTTTTCGTTTTTAAAAAAAAAACGTTGCTCGATATTAAGATTTTCTCCTGTATCGTGGGTGCGTTCACAAACATACAAGTCCTATACACATTACACCCAGATCCGGAACACAATTTGTGGATCACACAAAGAGTTGTTCCGTGCGGGAATCGGACTCACGACACTTTGCGCGGCAGTCAGTAGCCCAACCACCGCGCCAACCGTGCAGTCAAAAATTTTATAAAAGGCAACAAATTTGTAACTCCTTAGTTTCACTGATTACCGGTGTCCAAGAGGCATCAAGTATCCTTTACAGTCCACTGCAGTACTAAAGGTATCTTATGAGAGTTTCCTCGTAACCTTTACGAATGGCAAGAGAGAGAGATCGAAGTTGAAACAGTTCAGGTATATCAGAAAACGCTGCTACTCTCTCTCTCTCTCTGTCTAATGCGCATTTCCCGAACCGACTCTTACGATGCCCATGAATAGATTAAAAAGTAATATATGTATACTGCTATCACCAAATAGTCGATTCAATACATAATGACAACTTCCCTTTTATCTGGTGAAACACCGGCTCCCGGTATAAAACACATTATACTCGCAACTTTCAACAGACCAGAGGCTACGCCACTTTAAACATTCTAACCATATGCTATTATTTCAGCTGCACCCATCGAGAAGATTTTGGACGAAAATTGGTTGGAGCTTATGAAACTGTTCGCCAAACCAATCATTTCGAAGGTCATTCACGAAATTAAGGACGATATCCAATCATTCGTTAAGGCTGTACCTGCTAAGGACTTAGAACTGTAATTGATAATAATTTTATATTAAAATACAATCGAAGAATGAAGAACAACATAATGCATACTGAAAGTTCTTAAACATGAGTTCAAATGTTTACCTACCTTTAATATATGTTTTTTTACAAATCAATAGCTTTACAATGGTTTTAGTAAAATGTTTTGAATAAAACGTGGAGTTACTAATACATGACTTTGTTTAATTTTGTCCTACATAGTTTTAATAAAAATAATGATACCCCATTTATCAAATTATTACCAGTAGTTTCGGAGTTAGGAGGGAACAAATGAACATATGTACATCACATACATACATATTATATACCGATCAAAATCATAACCCTCCTTTTGGCATCACCGTAGTCGGGTAATAGTTAAAACTAAAGAAACTATAAATTTTTCATTTTTTAATCTAGAATTGAACTTTATCCATGTTGTAAAACAAGTGAAAAATCATAAACAATAGGTGCACTTCGGATAACATCACCTTTAGATAACATACCGTCTGTCATATTTTTTGTAATAACATTATTATCATTTGATAATTAATAAATATTGATTCTTTATTCTGTATCTTTAAAACATAGTTACCCAAACAATTTTAACCACAAAAAAATAAACAACATGAACATTTAAAATGCACAGCGTATTTATTAATTAAGAATTTTATGAATAATAAAACGTTCGAATAAACGAACTGGTTACTAATTAAACAATTCTATAAGTAGCTGGAGTTATAAAAATGTAATATTTATTTATATGGTAAACACGGTAGGCGGTTGGATCGCCATCAATCGCATCATTAATAATTTCATCGTAAAACATATTTACGGTAATTTAATTGAGCCGTTTGTGTATTAAATGTAATTAAGGAACGTACAGCTAAGGTGCATGCTTCCTTGTGGACGTTTTATAAGTCATAAATGCATCCAATAAAGCAGCAATAATAATTTGTTTACACTATAGACGATAGACGATACTAACTACGGAACCTTTACGACACGATTTGTCAATAAATTAATTAATTTAGTAAATGGTGAATCAACAGCCACATTAAACAAATTTAGCAGAAAAATAGTAACATTGAGACACTTACAGACTCACGCGAATAGTGACTAAATAGGTAACAGCTAAGACAAAATTAAAATTATTCTACATACTTCAAAAACAGTACCCACACAGCAAGAAAATGATTTAACCCACGTGTGTCTAAACGCGGATCCATGCGAGACACAATGTATTTTCTATTGTGTCTCATGTACGGGCATTAAAGTGGTTAAAGAAAAAATTTAGTGATTATCTTAAAGTTGGTTATCAAAAAAGTCTCTACTCATCATGGTCTTAGCTTCCCTCAAGCTTGTACCAAAGATATCTACATTATCCCTGCTACTGTTGTTATTAAAAGTATGACAGGCTCGACACAAAAATGAGTTTTGCAAAAAAAAAGTATTTTTTTTTTAAAAAAAAGTACCCAGTAGCGAGGTATAACTCTGTAGTTATACCTCGCTACTGGGTACTTTTTTTTTTAAGGGGGGAAAATCATCGAATGACTGCTCCCGCCTGGGTGAGGCGGAAGGGAGTGTCAGACTCTTACTGACTAAAAACCACCTCGTTCCTTCTCCTGCACGTCGAGCCGGAGCCCCGGTTACCCGTTAGGTTCTCCGCGACGCTACCGGGGTACTAAGAGGTCTATTCAAACCATATTTCAGAATTAATTTATATTTGAGTTACAGCTCTTTCAAGCAAATCATTTATTTCTTCTTACACTAGACACCTTTACAAGTTCGCTACATAGCTTCGTATAAAATCTTACGTCAGGATCAATAGAAAATTCATGTATTATATTGACTAAACCAACCAAAAGTCACAATACGAAAAATATAGGCGTCTGTCCCGTCTGGGAATCACAAGCACATTACTCATAATATATTTTCAGTTACAAACATATGTGGTATTGAATCGATTCATTCAACTTCGATTAATCGAATAAGCACGCACTCGAATGATAGCTGGCGTTAATCATACGAATCACTTGGAACGAGAACGATGAACTAAATTCAAATCGCATCGGTTCTCTGTCAATATTCAGGGTTGTCAGCTGAGTGCTTTAATTAGAGGGCTGCCACTGAAGGGTGACGCGTCTACCGGACAAATGACGTTTCGCATAATAGAGTAGGTGTACTGTGGCACGATTCTTGAATACTAAGCGACAGCCCTGGAGAGTTTTGAGGAAGTAATTTGTTTTTCGTGTGGGAAGATAGTGAAATTGCTTCGGTTTTATTTTTGGGGAATTAGAACTGCTTGGGGTGTAATTGCTTACTTGTTTTCACTCGGGTTTAATATACGTGTAGCCAAAGGATCAACGACTGCTTCTTCAAATATGTTTAATACTCTCTCCTAAAACCACTGTTATAGAAAAGAAAGGAATAGATAGACAAAATTACCTAATTTTTTTATTGTAATAAAAATGTCCTAATTTTTTGAGGGACTAGCCGTAGTCACTAAAACAAGTTTCGAAAACACTTACCTACTTAAAATAAGTTATTACAAAATTATAAATAAGCAGATGTTCCCAACAACAATTAAAATTCGAATATTATTTTATTATTACAAAATAATGGCCGTATAAATATGGCCATAAACAGTGCTACGCTAAATAAAAGTGGTTGTTTTTTTGGTTTGGTAATTTAAGCCACAGATGAGTAAAACACAGAAGTCCAAACATGGCATTAAATTTATTTCTCCTAATAAAGAGTAAACAGTGTTTTCATCAAAGTTCAAAATATTTTCTGGTAATTGAAAACCGGTATTCACTAAATTTAAATAATCAATATTTTTGACATGTTATGTCAATTAATAATTACACTTTTTGAACCTACACGAAAATGTAAAGCTATTTAAACGTAAAATTCTATATTTTCTTCAAACTTCTCTGCTCAAAATCTTCTCAAATCACGATCTACTGCTTAACCTTCTGTTCAAACAGGCAGGCTTTTCTATAATAATCCGTCAGTTTGTCTTCATTATATTTTATAAGTAAACTAAGGGAATGAACTCGTAAACTGGCAGCTATAAACTATAACAATTTTGAGATGTACACACGGTTACTCATCAAGGTATACAACACCAGGTTATTTTGGTCTCACTTTGTGCGACCTTTCCTTACTTTCAACGGTCAGTCTATACTGGTTTGCGTAGCTTGATGTGACGGGTGTACAGCGTAGCGAACCACAGAATATTATAACAGACTTTTATTACGGAATGCGTCTCGTAAATAGTTTTATTTTTGTAAACAATAACTTGTCTGTGTTGGTTTATGACTACCTATGTATGTATGTTAGTTAGAGTTTTGTGGCTATTTGAGTGGTATACGCCCGAATACTGAAAGGCTTTTTTTATGGGATAAGCCGGTAAACGAGCAGGCGGATCACCTGATGGTAAGTAATCGGCGTCGCCCATAGACACCTGAAAAACCGGGACGTTACAAGTGAAAGAAAAGAAAGAAAGAAAGAAAGAAAAACATTTATTCGACACATTGCATGCACAGATATGTAGACAAAATGAGTTATAAATAAAAACAAAATTAAAACAAACAATAAACATCACAAAATTAACAAAAATAGATGCATGCACGTGTCGAACGGGCCTCCACCTCAGCATTATGTTGAGCGTGGTAACACTCAACGCTGAAGTGCGTTACCGGCCTTTTGGGAATTGGGAATTTGAGGATTGGGGGGGATTCGGGGATTGGAGAGATTGGGGAGGGGGGTAATTGGGTCTCCGTAACCTCACTCACACGATGAAATACAACGCAAGCGTTGTTTCACGTCGGTTTTCTGCTTGGCCGTGGTATCACTCCGATCGAGCCGGCCTAATTGTGCAGAAGCATGGATCTCCCACACTTAAGGCTATTCAATTTTAATTTGTACTTAAATAACATGCCATCTCTGTCCTTTTAGAGAGAACTGTAGCGACAGAACTATACTTAAGCGCGACTTAAAATTGCGTTTGAGTATTTCGACATTAGTTAAAAGAGTAAGTCTGTATAGTGTATATTGTTGGATTTAATATGTTCTGTGTAATTTTTTGAGTAGTTACATGCCATTATCACTATTTTTAGTTAGTTTTGTTTAAAATGGGATTTTAATTCGTATCCATCTTAAAAGAAATGAATGTAGGTTTGCTGAGTAAAGTTATAATTTATTGTATTAGAGTTGTATATTGATACGCCTGACAAAAACTTAGTAGCAATAATATCTCATGATGTTAACACGTCATATTTAAACATGTTTAAAGACTTACATTTTCATTGAAACTTCCTAATAAATAAATACATTTACTTTCTATCTAAAACACAATTTATAGACATTTCAAAATGTCTACACACATTGCACTAACCGATCAAGCAATGAAAAACACATCCTCTCTCAACATAAAAATACCTTGTCTATTTTCGAGAACCTTCCACATTTTACATACATATGACTCTTTACGAACCACTTAAGACCTCGGTCTCTTAACTCTAAAGGTACAGTCAGGTAAGCTGGAAAATGAAAATTGCTTTAGTACAGAAAAAGCAACCACTGGTTGGCTACTGAGGCCGAACAATGGTTATAAAAGACACGACTCGTTAAAAACTATACTAAATACAAAGTCTACCAAAATCTACTGTCTCTCATCATCATTATCATCATCATCAACAGCTTGTAAGTGTCCATCGCTGAGCAAAGCCTCTTCTCACACGAAGAAGGATTGAGCATTAATGACCACGCTTGCTCATTGCGGGTGGGCGATTTCAAACTTATGATTAAAAATTATAAACCCAGGTTTCCTGACGATATTTTCCTTTACTGTTTGTCAGTGGCGTCTAAATAAGCTTAGAAAGTACATATAAGTGTCTACTACTAACTACTGCCTCTATACTGAATCAAACCTTATTTTCTTGCCTACATACTAAATTACTTGGCTGACTGTACATACATACCTACTTGTACCCCCAGTACCTATCGAGTTGTACCAAGTTCAGTCGTAAAGCTTCGACTGTGAATTCACAGATGCGACGAATACAGCTTAAGTGAAAAGTTTGACGTTAGACTCGTATCGAGTAACTTGTAAAATAAAACGTCCGAGCACGAGTATTTTTTACAAGGATAAAGGAGAGAATGAAGTGCTCATGTTCAAATGAATACT